TCAGAGCTTGGTATCTCGGATGGGAGATCAAACACCTGATGCTGTAGACTATGGCTGAATCTACAGTGCCATACAATACAGTTTTCGAATTCAGGTTAACTGCATTGAACTGGATTATATGAGTCTACATTGCCATGTAATCCAATTCAATGCAGTTAATCTGGATTCTGAAAGTGTATTATATGGCAGTGTAGATTCAACCTATATTTCAGAGGAAGAAACTGGGCACCATCTACACTAACATATAATGCATTTTAACTGCATTGCACATCATTATATGGCAGTGTAGACTCGTATAATGCAGTTCAAGGCAGTTAAACTGCATTATATGACAAATGGGGCCTGGCAAAAACACCTCTGAATATTTCTTGCCCAAGAAAATGATAGGTAGGAAATTCATGGGGTTTACCATAAATTGACAGGAAACTTGAAGATGCAGATACACAAATGAAATATCCAAATTAGAGATGATATGACAGATGCAGGAAATCTTTCCCTGCTTTCTTTCTCTTATGTTAGTTCACAGTAGCTCAAGGAAGGCATAGTTCTGAAACTTATTGTGTCAACAGAACAGCCTAAATGTCAAATCTAATTTCCCAGATAACTCTCACCTAATTTTATCCTCATGGGCAGAAGAGCAGTTCTATGTATCTTCTGCCTAAGGAGGGAGTGGAGTGAGAAACACAAGCACAAGTTATTAAATAAAGTCAGCATCCCTTCCATTCCAATGAGAAATGAGCCTGTTCAGAACTCACCAGGATCCATATAATGCTGAGTTCCAGGCAGAAAAGAAGATGGAGGAGAAGACAGTAAATTAGTCCATATGTGCATTTACACTATTCCCAAGGAAGACACCACTTGATGATACGAAATGTAGCAACATTCTACCTGGAACTGAGGATATATTGCAACAAGTGGCAGGTTCCAAGTCGATCCCAGATGGTGAAGCTGGGAGATGCCTGCTCGGACCCCTGGCCTTTGACCTGTGGGGTCCCGCAAGGTTCTATTCTGTCTCCCATGCTTTTTAACATCTACATGAAACCGCTGGGAGAGGTCATCCGGAGTTTTGGAGTTAGGTGCCATCTCTACGCAGATGACACACAACTCTACTACTCATTTCCACCTAATTCCAAGGAGGCCCCTCGAGTGCTGGACGAGTGGCTATCTGGATGAGGGAGAACAAGCTGAAGATCAATCCCGACAAGACAGAGGTCCTCCTGGTCAATCGTAAACCGGATCGGGGTATAGGGTGGCAACCTGTGCTGGACGGGGTTGCACTCCCCCTGAAGTCACAGGTCCGCAGCTTGGGAGTCCTCTTGGATTCATCACTTATGCTTGATACTCAGGCGTCGGCGGTGTCCAGGAGGGCTTTTGCGCAACTAAGACTTGTGTGCCAGCTGCAACCGTACCTCGCTAAGGTTGATTTGGCCGGGGTGGTTCATGCCTTAGTCACCTCTAGATTGGATTACTGTAATGCGCTCTATGTGGGGCTGCCCTTGAAAACGGCTCGGAAATTCCAACTGGTTTAACGAGCAGTGGCCAGGATGTTAACTGGTGAAAAGTCAACCCTCCTGTTTACGGAGCTCCATTGGCTGCCATTTACCTACCGAGCCCAATTCAAGGTGCGGGTGCTTACCTACAAAGCCCTAAACGGTTTGGGACCTGCCTAGCTGCGTGACCGCATCTCCGTATATGAACCCACCCGCTCCCTCCGTTCATCCGGAGAGGCCCTACTCACGATTCCACCTGCATCGCAGGCTCGTTTGGTGGGGACAAGAGACAGGGCCTTCTCTGTGGTTGCCCCCCGACTTTGGAACACCCTCCCCAAAGGCATTAGACTAGCACCCACGTTGGCAGTCTTTAGGAAGAACTTGAAGACCTGGCTATTCCGATGTGCCTTTCCAGAATAGGATAGTCCCAGAAGCACTTTATTAGAGTTTAAGACTCTCTGCACATTGCACTTGCCCAGAATCCCAACATATCACCTCACACACCCAGCACTTTTTAACCTGTACCCGTCATTGGGCCCGGCCCTGGTTTTGTTGCGTAATAGTGTAATGTTCTGTTTTGTTATTGCTTATGTTTTTAATTTGCTTTGCATTGTATTGTTATTTTCTGTTGTTGTTGTGTTGAGGCCTTGGCCTCTGTAAGCCGCATCGAGTCCTTCGGGAGATGCTAGCGGGGTACAAATAAAGTTTAATAATAATAATAATTCTTCCTGCTAACAGTGCACTCAAAGTGATGAATATTGACAGGTTTGAGGTTTAAAACAGGGCTACTGAGCAATCTCCATCTCCAAAACTACTCAAATCTGCTTAGCAGTTTCCATGATTATTAGAATTCCACCGGAGCCCCCGGTGGCGCTTAGCAGTCTCCATGATTATTGGAATCCCACCGGAGCCCCCGGTGGCGCAGTGGGTTAAAGCCCTGTGCTGGCAGGACTGAAGACCTGCAGGTTCGAATCCGGGGAGAGGCGGATGAGCTCCCTCTATCAGCTCCAGCTCCTCATGCGGGGACATGAGAGAAGCCTCCCACAAGGATGATAAAAAAACATCAAATCATCCAGGTGTCCCCTGGCAACGTCCTTGCAGACGGCCAATACTCTCACACCAGGAGTCACTCCTGACACGACAAAAAAAAAAACGGAGTGCTGTAATTGTTTGAACATTGGACTAGGATAGCTTCTTCTCCTTACATAGAAATGTATTCCTGCCTTTTTTTCCAACATGTAATCCATTTTTATAAGCATTTTTGCTAAGGTACACTTTTTTCCACACTAATAATTAAAGAATGTTTATATGCGTATATATGTATGCTAATTTTTCAAATTTACAGATACTTTTTGCACATTTTATTTCAGAGAAATGCTAGGATTACATATTTGTATGTCATTGTGAATATAATTATAAGTATAGTAGTGGAGAACAGGAATAACTGAGAAATTCTAAATAAGATGATAATAATAATAATAATAATAATAATAATAATAATAATAATATAATAATAATATCTTTATTTATATCCCGCCACCATCTCCCCGAAGTGGACTTGGGGCAGCTAACATGAGATCAAGCCCAAAATTACAACAAAATACAATATAAATACAGCAAAATAAAATACAAAAAGCAAAAACACCATCAAAATAAATACATAACATAACAAAATAAATTAAACAGTTCCAAAATGACATGATAGAGAAATGGGACACAGTGGGTGGGCCAAATGTACTAGAAGTAAAATTGATAGAATTGATAAAACCCTGGATGAGATAGGTAGAATGTGTTTCTTAGGGGGGAAGTCAAATGGCTGAACAGTCGGATTAAACCTTTATTAAGGATGGAGGGAGAGTGCATCATGAGGACAGAGCTGTAATTGGGACAGACTAAAATGGAATATATATTCGCTCACCAAAGGCACATCAGAAGAGCCAGGTTTTTAGGTCTTTCTTAAAAGCTGCCAGAGTAGGGGCTTACCTAATCTCACTAGGCAGTGAGTTCCAGAGCCGAGGGGCCACAGCAGAGAAGGCCCTCTCATACTTGTGACTGTAATGAATTTGCTGATCTCTGCAAGATTTTTGGTGGATAGCTCTATGTTCCCCATGTGTCATAGGGCAGATTTAGTACAGTAGGATAGCAACAGCTGGGAAGCCGATTGGTCCTATGCAGAGTAGTGTAGAGTTGAGAAGAACTGAATGTTCTAAAAGGGCGGAGTTAAGATTAAAAAAGAGGCAGTTAGAGTTAGAGAGTTGAAGAAATGACAGTTAGGAATGGCTGCTTGTGAAGTTAGTTAGGAAGTACTGTTTGTGAGGAACAGTTAGGAATTGCTGTTTATGAAGACAAATGAAAGCAGTTAGGAATCTGTGTGTGAAAAGAAGTAGTTAAGAATCCCTGTCTGAGAGAGAGAGAGAGACAGTGGGGGATCTCTGTTTTGAGAGAAGAGTTATTAAAAATGTAGCTCAAGTTGTATAGGAGAATAAGTTAAAGCCAGTGTAGCTTAAAGTTACAATATAATTCTGTCAAGAGTTTAAAAGGAAAAGTAACCAAGTTAATGATATTGAAAGTAAGCCTTAAGAACGTGACAAGATACTAATGTATCCCCAAGTGTTGGAACTTAAAGTTATAAATAAACGTTGTTAACTTGTTGCATACGAGAGCCTCAAGCCTATGATTCAAAGCCAGAAGGTTTTCATAACTCACACGATAGAGCCTGTAATTATCATCTCCTTACAGTGATGAATGTGGGAATGAGAAGAGGGCCTCCCTAGAGGATCGGAGAGCTCATGCAGGTTTATGGAGGGAGATGCGGTCATGAAGGTAGGCAGGTCCCAAACCGTTCAGGGCTTTGTAGGTGATAACCTGCACCTTGAATTGGGACCGGAAAATGAACGGCAACCAATGGAGTTCCTTAAACAAGGGGGTAGACCGCTCCCTGTAATTCACTCCAGTTAGCAGTCTGGCTGCCAAGCGTTGGACCAATTGAAGTTTCCGGGCCGTCTTCAAGAGTAACCACACATAGAGTGCATTGCAATAGTCCAATCTACAGGAAGTATAGACAGGAATGTATGCAGGGAACCATTGTACACATAACTTTTTCCTTCAAAGGCTCTTCACCCACTCCAGTAACAAACCCTCATGTTACAGACAAGAGTGGTGGAAATGGGAAGTTATACCTGAGACTTCTGGTGCTGAACATGTCAAAGTTGTCTATGGTCTGGGAAACCACAGATTTCATTCCCATAGGTTTTGGAACTTTTTGTTGTTTTTGTTTTTATTGTCTTGGTAACACAGCTTTAGCAAAAAACCAAGAATGACATAATTTACTGGAAGTGTAAGAGTAAGGCATTCTCTAATCAGGCTAGGACAGCTTTCTGAAATTCACCTTTACGCAGGCTGTTTACTATTTTCATGCTTAAACATCACTATTGCTCTTCTGGCTCATGTTTTGATAATATTTCCTAAATATTTTCTGTCCTTTTCTACCCTGCTTGGCTTCTTTGGTAGACTGATGAAGAAGATGACAATGAGGTATGACTGTACAAGAGCATGCCCCATTTTTTTGCGTGTGCTGTGAAACTTGCTGATAGCAGAAACATCCATATAAAATACACCCTTTATTATCATATCCTTTGGAAGTTTGCGGTAATCTTCTTAACTGATTTACCTGGGAATAAGATCATTTAAACTCAGTGGGATTTACTTCTAAGTATATACATATATAACTTTTAATATATATATTTTTAAGGATTGCACTCTCAAATGGGAATGTACTTGTTTTCTTGTGCTCTTTTCCATTCAGCATGATGGCAGTAGTCATTCAGCATGGCAAGTCTAAGCATTACAGAAGGTTGATGAAAATGTGCTAATAATGCATTTTGACCGTCTGCTGGAGAAACTACTAATCCATTTCACTATTCTGTGTTCATTGTTCATTCAAGTGTGATCATCATCTAACACTACTGCTGTGTTCTGACTTATCCGCTCTTCTTATCATCCTGTCATCTCATGATGTGTCCAAAGTAAAATAAACTCAGTTTAGTCATTTTGACTTCTAGGGAGAATTCAATCTTGACTTGCTCTTGGATCCATTTATTTGTGTTTTTGGCAATATGCAGTATCCCTAGAAATCTCCTTCAGAACCACATTTAAGATGAAGTTATTCTTCTGGTCAGCTTTTTTTTTACTGTGCTGTTTTCCATCACCATAGACTATCATGTATGATTTCTTTCCTAATGTAAGATCTTTGCAGTGGGTCCATAGATGATCATAGAGACCAATTCTTTTAAAAAATTATTGAAAATTTTCTTAAGAAACAGAATGAATATATATATATATATATATATATATATATATATATATCTACACACACACACACATATATATATATATATTCAGTGATAAGAAGAGACAAAACAACAAAAGGGAAAAACAAAAACAAAAATTGCTTTTCTTTTTTCTTTTTTTATATATATTTTTTATTGATTAACATTTATGCTTGCAGATACGTAAAGAGGGGGAACAATAGTGGTAATAGAAAAGTAGGAAAATAGGAAAGAGGGGAAAAAAGTTTGAAGGTAGTTGGGGAGGCTGGTGGGGTTGAAGTGATTGAAAAAAAATAGAAAAATATCGTGGGGGGGGGGTAGTTTGGGATGGGGAACTTCCAGTTCATTCCACAGAGATGCAAACATCAGTTTTGGAGAGAGAGAAAAAGATTTCTTTATGTTGTCACTATCCGAGTATTTTGATTGTCTTGTTTATATATTGATATTAATCTTCATTTTTTCCTGCAAATGTTTTTTGAGTTGGTTCCACTCAGTTTGATTTTCCTTTTTCTGATTTTTAATTATCTGTGACAGTCTATCCATGTTCATAAATTCTGCAATCTTGGAAAGCCAGTTCTCTATTATCTTTCCATTTTCGGGCAATCGTAATTCTCGCCGCGGCAGTGAGATAAAAAAGAATGGGATAGAATGGGATAATGAGAAAGATTTGGTCAAGGACAATATGATCAAATGGGCAGTAGATGTAGGCCATTCAATACTTCTAAAAGAATGGGAATATATTTGGAAGAGAAAATTAAAATATACGAGTGCCATCAGTATAATAGAAAACTGATACAAGATGTTTTACCGCTGGTACCTCACAATTAGCTAAATTTTACAGAAACTACAATAACCAATGTTGGAAATGCGAAAGAGAATCGGGATCATACCACCACATATGGTGGGATTGTAAGATCATCAAGAAATACTGGATAACAATCCATAGGCACTGCCAAAATATTATTAAATTAAAATAAGAATTGAAACCCGAATATTACTTGTTGAATATAACGGATTTTAAAATTGGGAAAAACGAATAAAAGATTCTTTTTTTTATCTCACTGCTTCTCCTTTTTCTTGACTTCTCGAGTATCTTCCATGAGGTATCTTCTTTTTCTTTTGTCCCTTTCCATCTCTTTTTAACCTTCTTCCTTTCTCTCATATGGGGTCGATCTTTTCTTATTATATTAATATTGTGTAGTTTTTGTGTTTTAAATATTCTGTCACTTTTGTCCAATCTGTTTCTTTTATTCGTCTTCCTTTTTTTTTTGGACATCAGGTAGGTAAGCCTTACCAATGTTTCTTATATCTAGTAACCTTTCCAGCCAATCTCCTTCTTCTGGTTTCTCAGTCTTTTTCCACAGTTTTGCATAACAAATTTTTGCTGCTGTGGTTAACAAAAATAGAAGTTTATCAGTTTTTCTTTCTAATTTCTGTTCTGTTATCCCTAGCAAGAATATCTCTGGTTTTGAGGGTATATTTATAACTAGCTTGGGGGCCCTGCGGTTCCCGGGTTATTTGAGAAAGGCCTAGTGTGCCAAGGTTGGTCTTTATGTGGCTTGCAGTGGTCTCAGGAAGTGAGTGAATTTACTGCAAGTCCTCCTCCAAACAGCACCAGGATGTAGAGTGGCTCATGCGGGCTCTGAGTGCCAGGTTTGGTCTTAATCAGTCATTGGATGAGGGTCTGAGTGGTCTCGGGAAGTGAGTGGAGGTACTTCAAGTCCCATCATCTGTAGTCTGTTCTCCCCCAAACCTCACCAGAATGTTGAGTTGGCCATGAAGGCTCTCTGTGCCAAGTTTGGTCTTTATTGGTATTTGGATGAGTGTTGTTGTGGTCTCAGGAAGTGAGTGAAGTTACTGCAAGTCCCATCATCCAAGGTCCATTCTCCTCCAAACAGCACCAGGATGTAGAGTGGCTCATGGGGGCTCTGTGTGCCAAGCTTGGTCTTGATCAGTCATTGGATGAGGGTTGCAGTGGTCTCAGGAATTAAGTGAAGGTACTGCAAGTCCCATCATCCATCGTCCGTCCACCTTCAAACTGCACCAGGATGTAGAGTGGGTCATGGGGGCTCTATGTGCCAAGCTTGGTCTTTATCGTTCGTGGGTTTGAGTCGCAATGGTCTCAGGAATTGAATGAAGATACTACAAATCCCATCATTCATAATCAATCCCCCTTAGAACTGCACCAGGATGTAGAGTGAGTCATTAGTGCTCTGTGTGCCAGGTTTGGTCCTGGTTTGTGATTGGTAAGAGCCACAGTGTTCTGTGGAACATGAATCGGATGAAGGTACTGCAAATTCCATCGTCCAAGTCCATCCTGCCCCAAACCGCAGCAGTTTGTAAAGTGGGCCATTGGGCCTCTCTGTGTATCAAGTCCTAATCTGCCATTGGTGTGAGTGAAGGAACTGGAAGTCCCATAATCTATGGTCCATCCTCCCCAATACGCAACAGTGGGTCATGTGTGCCAAGTTTGGTCCTGTTCTATCATTGTTGGGGGCTGCAGTGGTCTGTGGGAACCAAAGAGTTGGAAAGTACTACAAATCCCATTGTCCATGATCCGTCCTCCCCCAAACCTCACCAGGACGTAAAGGGGGTAATGGGGGTTATATCTGCCAAGTTTGGTCTTAATCTGTCATTGGATGAGGGTTGGGAAGTGAGTGAAGGTACTTCAAGTCCCATCATCCATGGTCCGCCCTCCTCCAAACTGCAGTAGGACTTAGAGTGGGTCATGGGTGTTCTGTGTGCCAAGTTTGGTCTTTATCGGCTTTTGTTGGGGGCCATAGTGGTCTGTGGGAACCAAAAGTTTTGAAAGTACTACAAATCCCATCATCTGTTGCCCATCCTCATGGGGGTTATATGTCCAGGTCCATATATGTTTGGTCCAGGTCCGTCATTCGTGCGGGTCACAGTGGTCTGTGAAAGTGGGAGCCAATCAGAAAGCTGCCGCATACACCCCCCCCCTACGTCCGCCCTCTGCATACATACATACAAACAAACATTCACTTTTACTATATAGATAGATAGATATATAGATATTTTTTGTAATGTATCCTATATTTTCTTCCAAAATGTCTTTGCTTTCTCATATGACCACCACATGTGAAAGTATGAACCTTCTTTCCTTCCACTCTTCCAACATTTTGTATTTATGTTCTTATAACATTTTCCAACTTTTTGTGGTGTCATGTACCATCCAGAAGACATTTTTATCCAATTATCTTTTAGGTCAGTTGCATATGTCTAATTGATTTTTCGGTTCCAAATTTCCTCTCATTCTTCTTTTTTATAGTTCTTCCTATGTTTGCTTTCCACCTTTTCATATATTTGTCATCGTTTGTCCTTGTCATCCATTCCAATAGTTTTCTGTAGATGAATAGTTTTCTTCGTTATTAACTTTTTGTCCGAATTTATTATTATATCCCAAACGGTTTTTTGTTCTTCAAAGCCTAATTGTTTCTCTTTTTGGAAGCATTCTCTAATTTACTGAAATTGATACCATGAGATTTTCTTGTTGATTATTTTCATCTTCTGTTCTGTTTTCAGAGTCAATAGTCCTACTTCTTTTTTCAGTAGATCTTTGTATTTGGGCTAATTGTTCCATCCTAGTGGTTTGCGTGGTTTCTAATGGTGAGATCCAGAGGGGTGTTTTTTTCACATAACATCTTTTTATTTTTATATTTTTCCCAAATTTTGATTATGGCCGACTTCACAAAGTATATACAGGAGTATATACAGTCGATGGTTTATCCAAAATTAGGGCATATAAATATTGGATAAAACTAAATGCCATGGCAAATGATAGGCTACCAAAATTGTGCCTGTTAGAGCAGAACAAAAACCAACATCAGTTCTCTTGGCTAGTGCAACTGACAAATTACATCAGGACTTGTGGACTTCCAATTCTATACCCAAATCTTCTAGAGGAATTAGATCCAAAAATGGTGGCACAACGAATACAGGATATAGAGGCCCAGAAAGACATTGCCACCCTTAGTAAAGCGGGCTCACTGAAATGGTTAAGTCGCTTTAAACATACTTTTCAAACAGCCAAATACCTAAAGACAGAAATGCCTAAACATCTAAGGAGGGTATTCACTAGAACCCGATTCGAACAGACAGATACAGTGGTTAAACATGGAAGGTTTAACCAAGTTCCATATAATGAACATTTCTGTATCTGTGGGGCAACAGAGGTAGAGGATATTA